ATATCAGCCACGATGACATTATGCAGGTAGATCACGTTGCCTAGCTTCAACTCCATCTCCTTCTCTCCACGGACGGGTATACGCTGACCGGTGGCTGTTATCAAATTAATGCGTTCTCGGTTGTATGCGGAGTCCCCAAGGAACTGACTTATAAGTTGGAAACTAACAACCGTACGAGAGGCTCCAGTGTCTATTGACAGTTTACACGGCATACCGTTGACCTCGCCCTTGATGATTAGACTGTTCCCATCATGGGTTTGTGAGATCGCGATCCTTGGGGCTCTTTTAACATCAGCCAGCACCTGCCCCGCAGTTCCAGCCTTTACTCGTTTCCCTGCTGCTGCTGGGCGGTGCTGTTGGCCGCACTACCCTTCTGAGATCGTTCAACTTCCCTTTCTAGGGTTCGCTTAGGGCAGCTAGATCACAGCCATAGCACCTAGGGCTGTATCCTTTGTTGCGGTCGCGAACTGTAGCTGCTGCAACCTCCCTGAAGCGATGGAAATGATGATCCTGTCGCACGGCTTCCACCTCCAGTGCATGGGCCAAGGCGTCCTTAAGCGCCTCGTGGTGCCTGAGCCTCACAGCCGCTCTGACTTCCAGGTCGCGGATGCCGTCGATGAATGTCTGCACCAGGTTCCCTTCAATGAGTGCAGGTACAGACCGGTATGCTTTTCGCACCAGCTTCTCCACCTCTAGACCCCACTGCTGCAGGTTTTCGTTGATGCGCTGCACGCGATCTTTAAGCAGCACATGTAAGACGTTTTGGCCAGGTGAGCGTCGCCATATCTCTCCTCCAATGCCTCAAGGAGTTGCTCATAAGTCACTTCCTTACCGAGAGCTTCCAGAACCGCTAAGGCCCGGTCGCGCAGGCCTAGTGTGAGAGCAGTCATGGCCTGACTTTTATTCCAGCCGTTTGCCTTCATAACAGCCTCGAACTGGATTTTGTAGGTCGCCCAGGAAGAAGTCCCGTCGAACGGCGGCACTTTTAATCCACGTACTGAAGGTGTTGTAGCTACTACGGGAGGTGTAGTTCCATCCCCCCAGTTTGAGATCGTCCAGCGTTTTCTTCACGTCAGCCATCACGTTGTCAACGCGATTGTTCACTTGGTCGATTCGGGTTTCAGATTTCTCAATTCGGGTTCCAGCTTCTGACAAGCGGTTGTCATGTTGAGCAACCCTATCCTTCACCTCCTTCATCTCCTTCCCGAACGTAGCGTGAAAGTCCTTCATAAAGAGCATCTGCCCTTCCAACCTACGGGCCTGTTCCTCTCGTCCGCCCCGCAGCTGCTCTTTCAATCGGCGTGCCTATTCCGCCTGCTGGCGGGCCTGTCCCTCCTGCCGGCGAGCCTGTTCCTCCTGTCGGCGGGCCTGCTCCTCCTGTCGGCGAACCTGCTCCTGCAGCATCACCATCAGATCACCTAAGTCAGGTGCTGCAAATGTAGGAGCTACTGACGGGCCTGCAGCCGGCGGCTGGCCCTCCGAAGTCTGCGGCGTTGCACCACCAAATCTTCTTTGGTCCGTCTCCTGCTGGCATTGACTTCGGGTACGGACACCCTCCGTTTCCTCCTTAGGTAAAATCGGCATGATTTTATCCCACTTCTGACACCAATTGTTACGAGCTTGAGGTTCGTGACAATAAAAGTTGCCGATAAGATTACCTAAATTAACACTTTAATTTTGTTTACACAAATTAAAACTCAAAACACCAATAATTAAGCACACTAATTCACTTTATTCCGCTCCGAAGCTTCGCTTGTCTCGCCAAATTCAAAACTTACCCGATCGCAACTTGCAGCGCCTATAAATACACATTAGTACCGAATCATCCAGAATATTCAAGTAAATACGCGCACCAATCGACAAAGCGCCGAAAGTTCGAGAGTCAGCTTCCAGAAGCTTAGTTCTTCATTTCGACAACAGATGGCGCTGTCGGTTGAAAGATTAGTGATGTCATTTTCTGGAAAGCTCTCCCCTCGCTCCGTTACCCGACACTAGATGGCACTAGTGCCAGATGTCAACTTAGCCGCGCAACAGTATGAAGTAGGTTGTACAATTATTTACAACATTCATATAAGACACAGCTCGGAAGCGATCACCTCATCCACAGGGGCTATTAACGTCCACTTAATAATTTAAATTATAATTACTCTTTCTTATAAATCTTTGCTTAAAAGAAATTTAAAATTTGTAATAGAGAGGCCTTGTATATTTTCTAAATAGACTCTGTGGAGTCGTGTAACTGGAATCACCAGCTTGCTGGTGTTAACGGAGTGTAAATCACTTTTTATTTAGATTCCCTATGTTTTAATGAACATACATAAAATTTTCGTAATTATACTGAGAGGCCAAAGATAATTATTTATTTCTATAGAATTATCTCTGATAGTTAAACAAATGTATCAAAATGTTTACGTATCGTCTTATACAACATACTCTCGTGATTTTTGATGGCTTCCCTAAGAATAATAGCGTTTCAAAAATTATCATATCTCTTTTAATAAGTTTGTAAGAAAAACCTATACATCCATAAATAAAGATACAGTTATAATATTTAAAATGTCCTTATTTAAATCTCAAAAATTACTGAATCAATTCTGAAATAATTTAGCTAATACGTACGTCCGCGTTATTCGTCTCGCGCCCTGCAGCAGTGATCAACCAATCATCGACCTTGTATTCTATACCACACAACGTTGGGTTCGGGAACAACGCAATGGGCGTGACCCCTGAGTATGAAGTTCAACTCTTGAACCTTGACCTCTCTCAAAATAAAAGGCTTGATGAATAAGATTACCGGTCCTTAAAGAATAGTCCCGGTCTTGACGTCAGTCATATACCTAATGAACTGTATTTTCCCTTACGTCCGTACTTATAAAGTGAACACTGAAGGATCTTCAAATGAAACATCAATTGTTCATAGATTCCCCTTGGAAATGCGATATTGAAACTTTCACTACTTTCATAACTTTCACTTTACCTATCCTAATTTCTTTTTCTTTCTTGCTTTAGAACTGGAAACTATAGCTAGTCTCGAACTTTCCTCACGAATTCCAATTTTTTTTGCGCCCAGAAGAAAAAAAGTGCTGAAAAGAAGTGCGCTCCATAAAGCGGGGGAGGGAGGTGGTGAATGCTCAAAGCACACCACGTAGCCGGGTGCGTGGTTATGTGGGATTTTTACCCACTAAACTCTACCTGTGAGACTGGCTTTAACCTGTTTAAATCTTTTAGTCGTATCGAAAGCGACCCCCTTAGGGAAAGGGGGACGAATTGCAAAATAAGCGACTTACTAACCTACCCCGGAAGCTATAACTAAGGAAAATCGCCATTTAGATTCAAGCTAATTGATGATTTTCACTACCACATTTCCATTTATCACCCCATATTTTTATTGACCATAACAATATCATAAAACAATTATATTTCACGTAAAATACAATAAAGAGGTATTACAAAAATAATTAAAATATTAACATCACATAAAGAATTAACAAAGTAATAAACAAAATTTCACAATTTTGCAAGTAATTTCTTAGTCATAAATCTTAAATATCGAATATAAACTTTATTAATACAGTTTCTAGCATTAATCTTATGTGCTTTACACAATACAACAATTAAATTCCAGAATTAAATCTTTGGTTATAAATAAAATTACTTTTAATTTCTTATTTCTCTATTCTGTTATTTCGTAGTTATATCAATAAAATTTAATACTTTTGACATATTTCTTATCTTATTGTTTTTTGTAACCATTCTTAAACGTTTATTACATATATTTTCACATTTTTCATGATAACAGATATAACTTTATACCATCAAAAACATAACTTGTAAAAAAAAAAGTCTCGCAACTCAGTTATTCCACAGTAAAAAGTTGTGAGATCCATGTAATACCAAGTCGGTTAATTTATTCAGTCCCTACTTAAGGGTTTTAAGTTATTACGTAATTAGCTAACCTAACAACATTTTATAGTGACCATATCAATGTTCAAAACCTTTTCAAATAAATAGATTGACTTGGCCATCGCATACAAACACAATGAATCTCACAAGTAATACATATTATTTAGTGCGATTGCCAAGTCAATCTATATGACTATAACTAGACTGTAAATCATACGGTATGAACGTCTATGGCGAGTATATCACTCACTTCTGATTTGCCCACGACATAGTCAGAACCGGATTACAATAAAGTCATATACACTGTCATAGCATAACACTACAAATTAATATCGTTGACTGAGCCTTTTTCACACCCTTTGCATGTCCTATTAAAATTCCTTAAAAGCGCAAAAAAAATTGTGGGTCACTCATGGGCAAAAAAAACTATCCAAAACTTTTGATTAAATAGTTCAGGAGTCCATCGCGGACAAACAACTACAGTAATTTATATATATATATACTGGATGGTGTTGGAAATATTTAGATCGAAGATTTGATTATGTTAAGCTACAAAATACGACAACCGATGGGGAGGAAAGGTTTCCGTGTAAAAGAATCGTAGCAGTAAACGGAGTATAGAGGGACCCTCACTAAATGCAGTGACGACATAATAAGACATGCAGGAAGTCGATGAATGCTAGTAGCTCAGGACCGTGTTGTGTGGCGTTCCTTGGGAAAGGCTTATGTTTAGCAGTGAACGTGTGAAGGGCTGTAATGAAAATGATGATGAGTCCATATTCTAGTTATAATATGCTGTGAATTCAATAAAATATGACAACCTTTTTTAGTTCAAAGTTTAGTCAAAGTAAATTAGTTTTGGAATTTTTCGTTTTTCCATTTCCTCAAGTCTTTGTAATTGAAAAGTGACCCTTATTATTTGTAGGAAACTCGATTGTTATTTACTTTCAATATCACTATTTGAAAATAACAAAATCTATACTTTGTTTCAGATCCTGCGTAAAGTGCAATATGTGAGCTAGCTACGTTGTTCACATAAGATGTATCCGGAAAATGTGACTTAACACCATCCTTATGGGATGAATGTCGCAACTATAATGAATATTACATACTTGAATCCCATATTGGAAGATTTGAAATGTCGCTTGACATCTGGTAATGGATGCGGTAATGATACCAATTCAGGCTTGGACTGCAGCTATTCAGAATACCCTGTAGACTATTTCTGCAAATTGAACATAGATGTGCAAAATGAAACTTCTTACAGTTGTACAAGGTGTTCTAATAACAGTTTCGATTATAACATCAACTATACTGTATGCAACACTGGATTCAAACTCAACATGTTGTCTGTAATTTTTGAGAGCGCTTTGAGAACTTTATGGCTGAAACTACCAGATTATGAAGTGTGCGACTGGGATACTTTGGTTTGTTTTAATGGCGGTTTCGATCGGATGTTATACAAGTACTTTAATGATAGTTATTTAAAAAGTGGTGAATTAGAGACCTTTCAATGTAAGTGGAATTTTAAAAACGTAACTGACAACTTATCCGTGACAGCAGGGTACGAATGGAGTTTTTTATTTGTCATATTGTTTATAATTGCGGGCGGTGTCGGGAATATTCTGGTATGCTTAGCCGTATGTCTTGATAAAAGATTGCAAAATGTGACGAACTATTTCCTGCTTTCGTTGGCGATAGCCGATTTGCTTGTAAGTTTGTTCGTGATGCCAATGGGCGCCATACCTGGATTTCTAGGTAAGTTATGTTATAGGAATGTAAGCTAAAGTAAGAAAACACACCAATTCTATCCATGGGCATCGTAAAAGGCACTAGGATTAAAATATCATGTCTTTCAATAGATGGTGGCAACACCATATCTATTAGTGATAATAAGTTGGCTAATTCGCTATGGCCATGGTTACTAACTAAATGTAGTTGAATAAGTTTTGTGTAAATGTAGTTGAGCCACTTTGGTACACTGTGCATTTGCTGCCCATTGATGTAACTTAGGCAATCGAACAAGGGGTATATCACTTCATGTATGCTTAACCCAAACCTCATAGCTTAGTGATGGGGAGTAATATTAGCAGTGTAAACGGAGGCATCAAGATAATAAGGAAGACATTTCTCTGCACAACTTCACTTTGATTTTATTACATAGATTTATATAGACATCATGAGTTAAGTTGTCTATATCTATGGCGTATCTACCATAGTCAGATTTGAACATAGATTGTGGGCTTATTTCTTCTGTTATTGATAAATAGTAATAATGATTTTTAGACCGAATTTTGGGCGGCTGTGATCAGTGTGAACGAATACCGCCCATCCGCGTAGGACAAGATTATAGTGTATAAGTATATGCGCAAACACAGGTGCACTTTCTAATTCCTCACTCATAGTCCGATAGGACAGTAAACGACCCAACCGGAGAGAAAACTGGCACAGTATCAACTGCTTTACGTGTTTTACGATACACGGGTACTCCCTTTTCACTAAACCGCTCCAACTTCCTGACTTCAGGCTGCTACTTGGAATTTTTGACTGAAAAACCCAATAACTAAACTGTCCCTGACCCGAAATTAGAGCTAGGGGCTATATGATCAGAAGTGACGCGTTAGACTACAATACAAACGAGGCAGTTAAGATTTTATTGATAAAAATAATATTAACATGATATGCCTGTGTGAGACCTTCAAGCCCCCTTTCCAATGACGTTGGTCGACAGTATAACCAGCAGGCCTGTCGTTAACTTTTTTGACATAAAATTGATAGTCACTTTGTTATGCATTGCGTCGTATGTTTTAAATTTACAGAAAAGCTATGGCGCAATGTACTGCAAAGGTTTGCTACGATTATAAAAAGTTCGTCCTACAACGGTACAGTATTATGTCCATAAGTTCAATTTTACGGTGTGATGATGAAAAATAAGAAGTAAAGGCCTTGAACAGCATTGTCTAGTGTGGCACCTTAAACACTGAAGAAATCTGGTACTGAGATCTCTAATTGTCCCAGAAATATTTGCAACTACCCTTCAACTTCACAAGAGTTTAGGATTATAATGTATGGGAATTAATTTAATTAGTTTAAAAAATAAGTATTCAAAATTTTTGTTAAGATATCGTAACCAAACCGCAAACTTCGAGTTTTATATTTGCCTACAAAAATTTATGGAAGATCGTACAGGCTTTCATTTATTTGAATTCGGAATATTTGCGATGAAGCAGTTTATTACAGTTTCTCAAAGGATCCTCGGTCAAAAATTGTATTGAGAATACAATATTCTACGATGTTTATTTAACCTTTATTATGCAAAATTAATGTTATGAATATGCGAAGCGGAATTCTTTTAACTTCAAGCTACTAAAACGTTAAATACGCCAGTTTTCAGACGCGTAAATAATTAAAGCTGATTTTTCAACACTTAGATAAAAGTTACACAAAAACAATAAAAGCAAATTAAAATTTACAGTTGTGTGAATAAAGTAGCTAAATAATTGTTTTCTTTTATTAGGTGAATAAGTTTTATTTCATGGCTGAAAACTCAGCCTTGAGTAAAATAAGTATATTATATGTTTTAAATAATATGAACTAATTTACTATATTTTTGGCGAATAATACTTACGTAGCTCGAGTTTGAATTATGTTGGCATTAATAAAATTATTAATTGTAATTTTAAATGAAACGAACAAAACATGAACGACTTAAAAATAAAAGTCTAAGATATCTGAAGTCCGCTACCATGTAGGACTTTCGTGGTGACCTAAAGCCCTTTCAAAAATAAAAACAGATGTGTTCCTAGGAGTGGGATGATAATATTATATGCTGTAACTTAACTTCTAAGTTTTTTTGCTCCTAGAATTCATTTTCTGGCCGATAAGCACCATCGCTCTGTGAAAAAAAAGCTTCAATAAATTTGTAAACCTTAATTTGTTTTTAGGTTATTGGCCACTAGGTGTTGTGTGGTGTAACGTATATGTTACTTGCGACGTTCTAGCTTGTTCAGCTAGCATCATGCACATGTGCTTCATAAGTATTGGCAGGTATGTAATCCTAAAATAGATTTCGATTTAATATTTTTAAATTTATATAATTTCCTAGTTGGCCAGGCAGACGACGTCTGCCCTTTTCTGACGACCATTTGTCCTATAAAAATCTATAAATTCACAATTAAAATTGGAGGGTAATCGTCATAAAATTTATTCTTTATTTCAATTTGCAGCAAGCAATACACATTTATATAATTTTATTAAAATCGAATGAAGGATGCGTCGAATCGGTGGAATTATATTATATTTAAATATATATAGTATTATATATTAAATATTTAAATTTATATATTTTTATATAATTTAGGCATTATTTTTATGATATAATTTTTATATGACAAAATCCTTTCGCAACTATAAAACTTCTATTTGTGAAAGCGATGATATATACAAAATATCCCAGAAGTCGACGTCATTTCGGAATACATTCATTTTAAATAGTCATTTAAAATTGAACAAAGTAATTATTTGGAATATTTGGTGGTAAAATTACATTTTATTTTGGACTGTGTTTCGTATGGTTATTGTAGAGAACCGGAGACCCTTTTTACTGGAAACAAGGCATTTCATCTTAGCCCTCACGGGTAACAACGCATCTGCATTTTGATTTGTAATCGAGGATAGATGTAGATGTCTAATGGGCCGCGGCAACCGCTTACCATTCAGGACTGTTTACGTTGATTTCTGGAATATCCTATACAAAGTGTTTCACGTAAATCGAAAAAACTTTTTTTCCACTGAGAACCCACTGCACCGAGAAACTTGTATTTTATTTATGTGTAAAAAAAACTACTTGACTGCTATTGTTTAATCTGAAGGGTGTATTTTAATTTTTTTTCAATGGTTGATTTTAACGCAATATTTTCTTAAAGGTATCTTGGCATACGGAATCCACTTAAAAGTCGACACCATTCAACTAAGAGAGTAGTTGTCATTAAAATTGCTCTCGTCTGGCTTCTTAGTATGTTTGTATCCAGTTCAATTACAGTTTTAGGTAAGCCCCTTAGCTTTAAAAGCGAACGTGATATTTATTTTTTATATCTAGTCAAAATAGCTCTACGATTATATAACTACAAAGTGTGTTCAAGTGACTAAACTAACTACCGAAAAACAAAATTCGGTCATCACATCCTTAAAAATGATGGCATTTGTACTAATCACATCAAGTATACAAGCTTGCACTTCCGTTAAAAAGACATTTTTCCTTTAATAGATGAAAAATCTGTATGTCAGAAAAATCCATCATTTAGTGCAGTTGGTAACGCCAGTTAACAATATTTTGAAGTCTTGCAGTTGTATGCTTGGGTTGGGATTTAATTTTATTCATTATAGGATTCCAAGCAGATGGTAGCACCCAGCCATCTTCTCTATTGAAATTAGGATGGTTTTTGATTTCAATAGCCTCGCGAATCATCCTTGGAAGGAATCGGTGTTCTTTAGCGAGGATTTGCGGTCTATCAAATCTGATGTAGTGACGGGGGCGATCCTGTACGCGATCAACGCTCCGGGAAGTCTGCAGTCTGTGAAAACGTACAGGATCGCCCCCGTCACTACATCAGATTTGATAGACCGCAAATCCTCGCTAAAGAACACCGATTCCTTCCAAGGATGATTCGCGAGGCTATTGAAATCAAAAAACATCCTAATTTCAATAGAGAGGATGGCTGGGTGCTACCATCTGCTTGGGATCCTATAATAAATAAAATTAAATCCCAAATCAAGTATACAACTGCAAGACTTCAAGATACCATAAGTTTATACTGTATAGATCGGAACAAAAGTTAAATTTTAATCTATGGTAACCGCGGTTAACTATGACATATGGACGTTGAACATCTCAGTCCCGCCCGTGATCATGAGTGCTGTAAAGCGTTCGAAACGTCGGGTATTTAAAAAGTTAAATATACGCGATAAATTCCGTAAAAACTACTATTATTTCAATCGTGTGATGAAGTCTTTTAGCCATAAGTTTGAGTGGAAAGCATTTAGTGAGCTCGCAACAAAGACGCGCTTTCTGCATACATTTTGAGCGAACGCTACCCATAACATTGCAATACAGGAGTGTATATTTGTCTTGTTTTATAGTATGAGGTGACAAACGGTTACACAGTTTACTTGATGGTAAGTGGATGCTTTTTATATATTCACCATAAGAAACACAGCAGCATTAAGCTGCTATTTTAAACTGGTGCTCTGTGAGAGTGTAGTCATTCCTCAGTCGAGCTAATCCATTTGTGCTACAACCATCATATAGATCTACCACAAATAAGTATAAGTAAGTATAATTTTATTCACTAACGTACACACTACTACTATATATAATATTTTTTCACCCACAGGTATAATTAATCGATCGAACATAATGCCGACTCCGGACCTTTGTGTCATCAACAATCGACTGTTTTGGGTATTTGGCTCCTTGGTTGCGTTTTACATTCCTATGCTGATGATGGTGGTTTCCTTTGCACTGACTGTGCAGCTGCTGAAAAGACAGGCGTTGTTGGCAGCGACACCCGTACCTGGAGCAACTCAAAGAAGGTTGTTGTTTAGATTAAAAAGACCACGATACACTAGAAACATTCAGATTTTCTCCCGTGTCGTGGAGGTTCACACAAACTCTTGTTCCGCGCGGGACTCAAACCCGCGGCCCAGCAGCCCGGCAACCAAAACAAGCTTAACCACTTTACTACGTAGCAGTCTACGATTGAGTATGAGTCACATAGTTCATCGGATATTAAGTAGATACTACAAGCTCATAGACACTCATATTTCCTCGGCTAAGAATTATAATGCTGAAAGTTTCTTACTCTTATGGAATAAGTTGGAATGTCTCGTTACTAGTACAAAGTGTCTTCTTTTCTTATATCCTTAGAATAAAAGACCTAAGGCTACATGGTCATATACCTTTGTATGCGGACGATACATGTCTATTTTATTTCGGATCTAATATAGAAGATACTATCTCGCAAGCGCAAGAAGATCTAGAACTATTTTTTGTGTGGTTTCAATATAATTTACCTACGGTAAATACTGAACTATACCATCACATGACCAACGAACAATTGATAACAACCCTTTAGAACTTTTTTATACGTGGTAGAGCCATGCTGCAGTTATATTAGTAGTATAGTTGTAGCACGAATGGGTCGGCTCGACCGGGGAAGGACCACGCTCTCACAGAATACCAGCGTGAAATAGTAGCTTAATGCTGCTGTATTTCGTATGGTGAGTGTAGAGAACCGGAGACCCTTTTTACTGGAAACGAGGCATTCCATCTCAGTCCTCACGGGTGACAACGCATCTGCATTTTGATTTTTAATGGAGGATGGATGTAGATGTCTATGGGCCGCAACAACCGCTTACCATCAGGTGGACTGTGTACTCGTTTGTCACCCTATTCTATAAAAAAAAGAACAAAAAACCTGCGAAAAATACTTAGGTTTGAGAATGAACAAATACTCGTACTTAACATGGAATAAGCAAATAGATCACGTTAATAATAAACTTTCAGCATTTCCTGGATCACTTCACAATATTTAGCAAATAGATCACGTTAATAATAAACTTTCAGCATTTCCTGGATCACTTCACAATATTTCCCATCGTCTAACTAAAAAATGAGGTACACTATTTATAACTCATTAATCAAATCACATTTACTTTACCTTATAGAAATTTGGGGCAACGCTGCTAAAACTAAGTTACAGGAACTTCAAAGGATACAAAATAAAATACTTTTTCATTATCTGTATCTAACACCAAATATATAGTACTTGCTAATGCAAGTACTATATATTTTATAATTATAATTAGGAAAATAATAACTTGTCTTTTGTAAAAAAAAGTCTTCATGCGGTTATAATTTTGAAAAACGACGTTTTTTATATTTTTCAAAATTGAAAATTTACGAATAAATCAGCCGACTTTGAAGTAATTTACGGCAATCGACGCAATGTTTTCAGCTTAACAAAAAACTTATAAAAAATTGATTTCACGTAAAGTTTTCAAGTTAATTTGAAAAAAAAAACACATTTTCCAGACCTGAATAGATTAAAGTCTTTATCAAAATAAGAGTGTCGAGGTAATTCCATTGATTTTTCATAGCGGAAAGTTATAAAAGCATTACCTTTGAAGGAGCACAGATTAATAATTTATTGCCTTGCAATATAAAAAATGTAAGCTCTTTTAGTAGTTTTAAGTCTTAGCTGTCTCAACTAAACATTTTTCACCATTCAATTGAGACTTCACAACTATCAACTGAGTGTTCGGCGACCTTTGGAATAAGTCTAATAAAATGTTATCATTATTTTCTCATGTAAGTGGCATTGTTTGTCTTTTTGATAATAAATTTCTTTAATCCCAAATATTCATCTCTGGGATTCTGCATTTCAGTAATTTGCCGTAAAGAGTATCGGTAGATGGTGCCCAAGCATGTTTCTTTGAAGAGCACTTGTTCTTTTCTCATGAATAGAATAACTGTTAGTAAAGAAGAATGATTAGTGATTATAACAACGACAACAATATTACCTGTATTTTCGGCCCTTTATCTTGCTAATATAGTACTAATTTTTTTTTATTAGAATTATATAACTTCAAGTGCACAAATTTTGAAATCGAAGAATCGACAATGAATGCGGACAAAAGATTCTCGTGTGGCAACCTCGTATCACCGGAATGACCTGGTGAGAGGTGTAAGAAAGCGAATGGATCCGGGTGGTTCAGGACCGTGCGTTTTGGCTTTACTTAAGTTAGATTTATCCTCAGCAGTGGATTTGTGATGGGCTGTAATGATGACGATGATGATCATGATGATGAAGTACACTTTTTTATTGTACAATGATGCCAATCAAATAAATTAATTTCGCTAATATCAGTCTATTGCGATGTCAAACAATAATGTTTTCAATTATTTGTAACTTGAACAGCAATAATATAAAGGTTAATCTAAATAATCTAATTATCTAATATACACGGAATATCTGTATACTAAATGTTTTGATTCCATAGCAACATAATTTTAACCAGATAAATTACATTTATTATTCTAAAATTTATATTTTTATTATGAAACTACGACGAGATCTGATCCCTTAATTCTCAAGAACCTCTCAAAATTGGAGCGGGCCTGTACCCAACGTTGAAACAAAATAGGCTGTAAATTAAAATTTGATTTCATTACTTTTTGAGCTTTTATGTAATATTAGTGTTCAATAATAATGCATGCTTGTAATTTTATTAAATTGATTTAATGACAAAATTTTTAAGTTGACTTGAAAAACACTAAAATATTTACAAGTTTTATCATTGCAGGCAATGCGGCGGTTTTGATAACGACCCAACGCAAGGACCACGTCGCATAGGAGCCAAAAGCTCCCCAGATTTGTCGCCTCGTAGCAATGTTTCAAGACAAATGACTTGGAGAGTAACTTCAACAAATAGGTATACATATCAATCACAGGCTATTGAGCAAGTTTTGGTAAAATTTGTTTATTTTATTCTATCTTAGTCCTAAGGGGTAAGTAAGGACATATCTAAATTTTGAAACTTAAACAAGTAGAGTTGGGGAATGTGTTCTCGTTTATTACCCATATTCTATTAAAAAAAAAATAATTGCGCCCATTTACACATGTTAACCAATTTTGTATTTATCTTTTACATCAGCCTAAAACACTCCGCAATTAACATGGGCTTTTTATTTATTATAGACTTTAGATTTGTCATAACAAACTACAAGGTTTACAGTCAGATTATTCACGGTATTAATGATATCGGAATTTTTACACTGCTTCCCTTCGCCGGTCTGGGTAATTTAATTTGATGTCACACTAAATGGTTAGAGCTTCTAGCATTATCTATACCCATTCATGCTACAGACATTATGGTTGTAGCATGAATGGATCGGCTCGACCGGGGAAGGACCACGCTCTCACAGTGTACCAGAATAAAATAGCAGCTTAATGCTGCTGTGTCGTATGGTGAGCGGAGAGAACAGGAGGGTCGTTTTACTGGCATCGAGGCATTCCATCTTAGTCCTCAAGGATGACAACGCATCTGCAGTTTGATTCTTAATCGAGGAAAATCTAGATGTCTATGGGCCACAGCATCCACTTACTATCAGGTGAACTGTGTGCTCATTTGTCACCTTTATCCTATATAAACCACGCGGATTAAGTCACGGGTAACAGCAAATTTACTATAAAGTAATAATTATATCGCTTTATATGTATGATTTAATATGATTATTTAAGACTCGTTTTTATTAAAAGTGGGAACTTCTTTATACACATTGGGCACTTCTGCGGTGTGGAAAAAGTACTGAAGTTGAGTGATCGTCACGCTCAGATACATTAAATTGATGAAAGTAAAGTTGAAAGTCCAATTGAACTCATTTTATAAAATCTCTAAGTTTCAACTTAACACGTTGATAAAAAATATTTCTAATAAAAACGTCCTAAAATATTTCTTAACAACAAAAATACCTTATTTACTTACAAGTTTATAAAGCTAAAATTTTTCACTTCTGACGTGCAGCTCTACGACTGACAGTTTTTTTTTAGAAAACAACGGAATAAGATTGCTATGAGCGTTTCCAATCCTCAGTTAAGTTTTATGAATGGTTGTGGCAATGGTGCGGGCTCTGGTAATAACAGGAGAGGGCGAGATGTCGCAACGCAGACACCGCTTAATATAGCAGCAGAGACTAGGCGCGCAAAGTTGAGACCATTGAAGTTAACCCTTGCTCCTGCTAATGCTTTAAATCTAAGGTAATCTTAATAGTTATTTAATAAAGTATATTTATAAAATACCTGAATATTGCATATTTAAAGAACTGCATTCAGTTAGTCTGCAAGTTTGTCAATGCATATGTAGCTGAAAAATTCTTATTTCACGTAGTTGCAGTTCTATTTTAAATAAAAATGTTTACTTATAAAAGGTTTTTAATGATAATGAACGTGGTGATGATGATTTAGTAAATGATTTTTTATCTAACGAAATAACGTAAAATTGTTTAATACGAAGAGTCAAGATATATGAGTATTTAATTTTTGTGGTTGCAGATTTATAACTAATCGTAAAAAAGGGCGATCTCTATCAGCGAATGCAGTAGCCAATGAACAAAAGGCTACAAAAGTACTCGGGTTGGTGTTCTTTACATTCGTCCTATGTTGGGCTCCATTTTTCCTTCTCAACATTTTATTCGCATCATGTCCTACATGTATTGTTCCAGGTATGTTACAAATAGCATATTTAGTTACAAGGCATAGCCCTGTTTCAGTTTGTAAAACTATATAGACTTTAAAAAATATTAGCTGTTAATATATGAATAACGTTCAAGGACATTACCTTGAAATTTCCTATGGATTGACACAGACTCACTTTAATTTCTAAAAAGGTTATAGAGCAGGAAATAATATGCAGCACTTTATTAGCGGATCTTATAGAGACTTTGTAGGTCAGAGGCCAACAATCGAAGCAACTTTATTTTAGTTGCCATATATAGCGTTATGTGTTCTACAATTTAAATTTTTAATTTTTCTCATGATAAGGGGTGAAATGTCAAATTAAAATATTTTATTTTGTTACAGAACATATAGTTAACGTTTGCTTATGGTTGGGCTATATGTCTTCGACCATAAATCCAATTATCTACACGGTCTTCAATAGAACATTCCGTGCTGCATTTCTTAGACTACTTAAATGTCACTGTAGCAGGTATTTCCAATAAGTGTATCTTTTGTCATTTTTACTACCATAATAAGCATAAACACTCACGCCTGTCACCCAGAGGGGTAGGCAGAGACCACGGACTTCCATTTGGCACGATCCTGACATACCTCTTTCGCCTCCTTTATATCCATATATCTACGCATACATGCTCGTCGGTTAAGGGTACTTTTAACGTGGCCCATTTTTACTACCGTTACTTTATTCAATTAGAACCAAATTTTTTTACAAATTGTATACAAGTATTTCTGCTTTAAAATTGTAAATTTTAAGTTTTGTATTTATATTAATTATTATAACCATCCATCATTTTATTCTATCATTTAAAGATTTAAATTATAAGGATTTGAGTAGTATCAAGGGTAAATATTTTGAGTCTTACATAAACCTCCAGCGATTTATATACATATAATAGTATTTTATAGTTTTTACTAACAATTTTGCTACCACTTCCAACTGCGGTTGTGGAACCATATGACAAGCATGGTAACTAGGGAGAGGGGAGTACGGGCTATTCTTATGTCCACCTGTGAAAGTCTTGTTAAGATGTAAAGAATGATCAACGTGAGTTTCGATTATCATAGTGCGTGTTTCCTATCGTGTATGAAAATTATCATTTACTTTTTAGTTAATTTATTTAGCCTCCAGTCATATTCATTTGTTTTACTACAGTAAATAACGTCAAAATTTTGAAATTGCAGATATTTCGTAAACAGATAAATTTACCTTTGAAATCCCTTCTGCCGCAAACAAGGTTCCAGTGTTATACAATGTTTAATTGTTGTATTTTCAAAGGGTACAATAGAGAATTGCAAATGATACCTCAAAGAATAGGTAGAATTAATCTTGTAAAAGCTTTGTTGTTTATATGAAGAGTATTAATGAGACAGCTACATTTTTGCATTTTAATTGGTTCGATATATTATTAATTTTTCACCCGTTATTGAAGAAAATTAAATTTAAGATTCTTAAAATAAAAAAAATTGATCTCCAAAATGATGATTATAGAGAACCATTACCGTTTACTATTATTTTTATGTTATTTTCTTAAATTAAATTTTTTATATTACTATTAAAGTCTACTGCTGAACAAAGGTCTCCCGCATAGTTTGCTCCATTGGGGGGATATTTGCCATTGTTGCCACGCTTGGCAAGCGGGTTGTTAACTACAGTTGTTCTATTTATCGTCATTATAAGGAAGACGCCGCTGTCCATCTCCTGATTTGTTTTTCTCTGACGCTTCTTAAGACACCCACGGAATGATATGGGGTAGTGGATATACCGGCAACGCCACTACACATGCACAGTAAGAGATCGGTTGTCATTTTTATGTCATTGTTTTTATGCTCCTTTTAGTCTTTATTGTAAGATACCTTAAGACACGGTAACTATGGTGGGCAATATGTTCATATTGTCTTATGACTTATAACCCTGGAGGAGGAAAACAAATAGAAGTTGGTTTTGTTAAAATAATTGTTTTGTTCAAAATAACTTTACAGAGAAGAGAGAGAGAGAGAGAGAGAGAGATAGAGATAGAGAGAGAAATAGAGATAGAGATAGAGAGAGAGATACATATATTGTAAATAAAATAATATATATTTTATATATAAGATATAAAAAATAAAATAGAAGGTCATTTTATTATTCGACTGAAGTTAATTTGATGATGCAGTAGGATTTAACAGTTAGCCCGTTATATATTATAATGAAATTCATATTTATTTTACAGGCGAGGTCATTGTACTCGTTACATGTCAGTTGGATCAACACGAGGAGCTTCACAACTCTGTGCGAGATCTGCTCTGCCGTTAGCAATATCACTTCGACCGTCTGTTATGCCTTCGTCATCAACTGCTATGCAGGAAACTGCAGAGTCCGTTCTAATTGAACCTCAATTTACGGGTTATAATTTGCGTTACTAGCTTTTAACTTATAATGTTCTGTATGTCTTTACATCAAACTGAAAAAAAAGACAATTAAAAGACGTGTTAATAAAACATAACATAGATGAGAATGATACCTATTTTGTTTTAGTGGGTCTGAAACTAGAAAATGAATTTTCATGATGTACTCACATATTGAGATTAATAAAACGAAATACTACTGTATTTAATAATATATCTTTTTGTTTGTGTATATCCGTTTGTAAGAAAGTGAACTTCGCATTATTCGAGAAGAAATAATGAATTCTGTTGTCTGAAATAAAGATATTTTATTTTATTTATTTTTATTTTTAAAAGAAAGATGGCAGTAGAGGTCAGGCTAAATAGCACCTACGCTTTTATTCTCGATTTATTTTAACCTTTTTAAATACATTAATTGTGAGTTATTTTTTGTATTTATAGTTAGTATCTGAGAGTGTTAATATAGAGTTTGCTTTAGAAGCACAAAATTATGAGAAATAACATATAACTCTTATTTATTTTGATGATATTTATAGATTAAAGTAGGTACTCTTGTATATAACAGAAAAAGAAAACATTTCATAGTTTTTAAATGTATAACTGTAATTACTATGTATAATGATAAGAATCTAAATGTCGAATAGTATTTATGTCCAATATTAAAATAATTAATTCATTACGAAATCTGTAACGTATTTTCTTAAACCTTTACTTATATATTTTTTCGATATTTTGCTCAAATATCTTAATAAAATGAAAAATAATCAGATTCTAAAAAACCTACTTTAGGGGCGCATTTTTATTTATGGATATGGAAACATTCGGGGTTTGAAATTTTCTAAAACGTGTGTCACAAGATCTAAATTCCACAAATCATTTTTACTTAACCAAATGGCTGCAGAATGAAGAATTATGAAAAGTACACACGTAACTAAACCGTAATTACGTAGCAGTAGTTTACACTGCGCATTTTTTGTTTCTTTGATAGAGGGAGAATGAAAAAGAGAGACACAAAAACTTTAGCAGCTGCTATTTTAGTGCCAAAAAACTTTAGCTTTTTTTTCGTCTTGTTGCGTATAAAGTACACATATGAACATATGGTATACAATATAAAGAGTGACTAGTATGAAAAGAGATGCTATAATATGAGGGTTCAGCGGGAAGGCGGTCACGTAACTTATACTTAATGTAAATATCGACCAGATTATAATTCGGCAAATTTCCTAGCTCTTTTCTTCGTCTGTGAGAATCCCCGAATGCTGAGTATCGATCGAGTTATCGTCTGATGAATATGAGCCATAAAAGGTGACTCGTTTTTTTAGGTTCGTCTGTAAATATAAAATAGTATAAAAAAGAGTATTTTATTTATATAGGTTAGTGTTTCTAGTCAAACCCAATCAAAAGCTCGATTTGTTTTACTTGTCTAGCCTTGTACTCTAGTTAAGTGAACAATAGATTGATTAACGAGTGAAGCGACTGTTGAGTTTCAAGCATCTAATTGTTAATTATATGAAATATTTAAAAATCATTGTTGTTTTCTGTAACTCTCTATCTTAGAGTTGAATACTTTAAACTGTTTATGAACCGGTAATAGTATAAATGCTTTATAATAATCGTAATGTTGAAATAAGACATCAATGATATCGCTTTCGATAAACTAGTTAAATGAAGCCTACATATTGATTTAAATAATTTGGTTTAGTTGAAAGGAGTTCCGCCTGAAATCTAGTTCGGCCTGTAATGTATTTGACCAGCCATATGAGGAGGTTAAATATTTCATTAGCATAATTTTTTATATTTGTGGGGGAAATGCATAGCATTTGCAATCGACTAAATATTTATAACTGTTGTAGAAAATTGCATGTAAAAATAGGAACTTTCATTATTCGCGTACTGTGTTAGAATATGCCCATGAGATGAAAAGGAGTGCAGGTTCAAGCTTAGTTCACATAAATTTGGATGTGAGATACTGTTTGGATACTTATGAGAAGGAAAAATGTTAAATTAAGGTTACTAAAAAGAAGGAAATTTTTTTCTATGATTATTGTAAAAAAGTTCATAAATGTAATTTTTTTCTCAATACTTCGATGAATATTAACTGTATAAATTTCCAAACTGTGCAATTATTATGTTTGTTCATAATGTGTGATGAGTATATGTATGTATGTAGAATAAAATTTATTTTTGAAATTCTTCGTTTTGATTTTATTGTGAGCTCCTAAAATAATTATAATCATAGATCTTCCACATTTGTTAATTTTTTTTTGTATTCAATAGCAAAATTAGACTGCCATTATTATATGATCATCACTTAAGCCGATTTTGGTCACATTAACACCATAGACTAATGTGTTCTTTATGTGACTGACATAATATTTAATTTTCAATGTATCCAACATATATTAAAACAAATGTGTGGAGTATGCACTGCGCCGCGGAGTCGTAAGAGATACAGGTACTCAATGGATGCAGGTGGCTTAGGACCATGCTTTGAGGCATTCCTTGGCTCTCCGAAGTAGCAATGTATGTTAAGCCGCGGACTATTGACGGGCTGTAATGATGATGATGATAGTGATGATAAGTTGATTTTTTTATACAATACAAACGTGCACACAATCCACTTTATGGTAAGTGGCTGCTGTGACCGACAGACATCTACATCTATCCTTGATAAATTAAGATTAAAAAAGCAAATTGTATATGCGTTGCCACCTCTAAGTTGTCTAAGATGGAATGCCTCGATTCCAGTAAGAAGGGTCTGCGGTTCTCTACACTCACCATGCGTAAACTACAACCATATCGAAACATATCACCATAAAATGGCAGCATTGAGCTGCCATTTTATACTTACAATATTTACAACCCATAGTATAATTTTAATAGGAATAATTGACATAACACACGCATATGAGGTTTTCTACTCGACTGATGTACAAATAAAACATCAGTCATAATATAAAAATTAACATGAATTTAATTGATAATACACCGATAAAACCAAAAAATTGTCATTATTTTAAGTAGGAAATTTTTATTCAATTCAATAAAATTTGATAAAATTTGAGCACATAGCGGACATTAATTCGTATTTTAATTTAAATGAATATCTCAATATATAAAACACACATTTTAATTAAAATAACATTTTTGTTATAATATTTACCAATCATTTATATCTGAATCTCTATCTCTATTAGTCAGCATTATACCGCAAATTAATGTAAATGAATTTGATAACAGTTTTTTACAAATTAACTTATTTAGATTAGAATCAGATGCATCAGCAGAAATTGTCCAACTGAAGGCGTTTAAAATATTTAAATAAAACCTCTTTTCAAATAGACTGTTTTAGAAATGACTTCAAGGGTCGTATGCTTTTGACACAACATTACTCCTCCCCTTCACTGTACTTTTGACAACCGCCTTTTTTCATCAGCGACTTTATAACAAGGGCTCATTATTTTAGGCCCATTTTGGCTGAGTAATTTTTTTAAAAGAATATTAACAATGCTATAACATAAACATTAGTAATATTCCCCTTAACCACTCGTGGTAAGCTTAAATTGCTTGTGTTACGAGTGGTTCACGCCAGTAGTCGAATGGCGGGTTCGAACCCACAACCTTTTTGAGTTCGCGGTCCGCGCCCTGCCATTAGGCTACTGTCGTAGTAATTACTTAAACCGTCTTATTACTGCCATTTTAGAATAATTTTACCTATGCTTGCTGTTGCGTAAACATTTTTGTATTGTTTTAAAACCTAGTTTTACCTTTTACCCGTGCATTTTTATCAAGCGTGCTGAAACATCTAGAAACGAGAACATGCAACATCAAACATTTTCAGTTATAATACCCTGGTGTACTCGTAAGTATGTTGCTTGCATTGACTATGGGTTGTAGCTTATCACAGGCGAGTTCTATATGATGGATTCCTAATGTTTCGGAGCTATTATTCATACATACAATCGTATTTTATTATAATATATTTTATTGTAGTATGTATTAAATTCATTTATTTTAAAAATTAAAGAGAAAAGGATTTTTTTTAAATAGGACTGAATTTTTAAAATTTAAATACAAACTGCCTTTCCTTTACTTTTTGTATTTTGTGTTTTTTTAATGGATAAATGTTTGTTAGTTTGGAAACATCCAGTTCCGGAACAACTATTTTATTTGTTAAAATTTTTCGCGGATTAAAACCCACGGCGTGCAAGCTTAATGCGTCTTATTTATCAACCAATATTCTAAATCATGTTTCTGGGGTAGGGTTTACAATTAAGTTGTCTGAATTTAAGGATTTTGTCACTGAATTGATTTAAAAATTCAAGGAAGTTTACCTGAAGCACCCCCAAGTGATTTTTGCTGCCGGAGCAGCGTCGAAGTATATTAATTATTTTTTAAAAACATTGGTAATGACTTATTAATTAAATATTTTCACGTTTTTGACGTTGCATCTGTCAATGTCATATCGATATATAGTACTGAATCGATCTAGTAAATCGATATTTCACTCTAGAGAATTGAGATTGAACCTTTTTCTGTTTTATTAAGAACTATAAAATTATTTACAATTAATTGAATTTAACCCAACTCGTAAATAATGACAGTTGTTCAATTCAATAATTCACTTAAAACTAACAAATATAAACTCTTAACGCAAATCAAAAACAGATCGATTTTTGTGAAATCGATCTATAAGACTTCGATTTTTTGTGAATCGATTCATCCAATTTCGATTCAAATCGATTTAAAAATGTGTAAAATTATTCGCTAGGCCGGCCATTTTGTTGACAATCACAGACATATTTTACGTCATTACGTTGCTTCCGAATTTCAGAATTTTGGTGATGATCTAGTGGAATATTTGTGGTATAATACTGCTAAATATCGCAAAGATCCTTTCTTATAAATGGTAGCAGCCATAAATTATGTTTATATATTAAAGTAGTTATAAAAGTTAATGTTTTGGTTTTATATTGAGTGCAATAGAGAGCGAAGCGAGCTTGGGACGTCGGGCACCC